TCTGCAGAGAAAGAAGAAGCAAATGAAAGCTTATGCTGATGAGCGCAGACACACATCACAAAGCTCGATCAAAATTGGTGACCGTGTCCTTTTGAAACAGAATAGGGGTAACACGTTGACCCCGGCGTATGATCCACGACCATATGCAGTCGTTGGAATAAAAGGGAGCATGATCACAGTGAAGAGGGGAAAGGAAGTCAAATCCCGCAATTCTTCCCACTGTGAGGTACTCAAGTATGCTGGAAAGGAGGAGCTCGACGATTTGGATTGGGACAAAGAACCGATGAAAAGGCGACCAAAGAACCGCCATATTGAAGTAGGGGAGGTCCCGGGAGAAGGAAATATAGTCATGCAAGAGACGCACAGGGGACCGACAATCGCGGCATCGGAACCCCGGAGATCAGTACGAGCCAGAACATCCACGTGGGAAACAATTTACAGAGACTTCAAGCCTCACTAAAGAAAAGGGGGGAGGTGTAGTGTCCAGGCCTCCAAGTCCACGCCCAAGGCCCCAGGAGACGTAGACTTGAGTATTTATTATGCACCGTAAAGTGAAAACGGGGGTGAGAAAATCTAGGAACGAACAAACTAAGCGAGCTGTAAGCGAACTGTAAGCGAACTGTATAAGCGAACTCCTGAACATTACAGAACCAGATATTTCATCTGGTTGATGGCTCCAAAATAACTGTAAACCGCTTTTTCAACACTCATAGAATGCCTGAACACGCAAAGCACGTCGAATTGGAGATGAAATAGGGTTCAAGGTTACGAGTTTGTTAGTCTGCACTGCCAAAATTTCTCTCAAATCCTAAGTCGCCATTTTGTTGGTGTTTCACTGGTCAGCAGAGATTAAGTGGATCAGAATTACACCTCATGTATGTGACTCCTGCTTACAGAGCTAATAAGGAATCCAGTTTTCTGRAAAAAAAAACAGTTTTTGTTCTGATTTTAAGGTCAAGAGTGGACTTGTTTGTTTTTCTTACAGTAGTAGCAAATCAGGGAGTGATTGAAGGAAGAAGAGGATGATAAACTTAATATTAATAATAGTCATGCGCACACTCTTATTTATCCAAAATTATGTCATCTAGTCATGGTCACCCTGCATGCACAAAAAGACCGATGGTGAAGCTCTAATTTCCCATTACGTCACAATTTATTCTTTTTTTGTTTGTTTGTTTGCTTTTTCCTAGAACAGATAGGGAGATAACCATTTTAAATTGCTTCAAATTGGGCTGCGTAGTGAGCGTACAACAAAGAAAACAAAACAGTTTAAAATGAGAAACTATTATTCAGAGAAAAAAACTTATATAACTGCTAACAGGAAACTGGGAAAAGAACAGTGACAGTTTAAACGATGTAACAGCTGTGATAAACAGAACTTGCAAATTTCGTGAGATGCATGTAGCTTATAAATTCCTTAAAATTACCGCAGTTACAAGCAGCATCCCTACGAGTACCACACGCGAAATAGATCGAGTCAATCATCTCTCGGAACCTGCCGGACATGCTGGCTTCCGATTTTAGTACTTTGTTTTGATCGCTTTTGATTTCCCTGTTGTTACACACGTTCCATACTCTTCCGGTGACAAAGTGGCATCCCGCCGGCAGAACACAAAAATGGAGCCGTGTATTTCACACGGCTGTAAAAATAAACAAACTGATGTTATATTACGCAACCTCATCAAATTTCCTGCTACAGGGGGTGGTGTCCAGTTGATCTCAAAGCCGACTGCGAAAACGCAGACCCCGAAAACTCAGACCTTGAAAACACTGACCTCTAAACGTAGTCTATTACTCGAAAAACTTCAAGGCTCTTGGTGCTGCTCCTGTGTAAACAATTCTCTTGGTGTTTTTCCCTGGTAATGACATGCGAGACAGGCGAGACTGGCGAGACATGTGACAACATTTCCGGTGTGCATTTACATGGTCACAAATTGTCACAATAGTATTCTGGAGGTGGTTGTAGGGGGTTTTAGATGGGGTTAGGTGGTGGTTATAGGTGGTTGTAGGTGGTTTTAGGGGCCGACCATTTAACTTTTTAGGGGGGGATGGGTGTTTTCTGGTAATCAAGAAATTTTTTTTCTAGCAATCTGCTGTGCAGGATATTTTTTTCCGAATTTTTGGCACATTTTTTCTGTTACATTTGGCCTGCATGGAATTTTTTTCTTCCAACAAGCGCTTGTAAGAAATTTTTTTTCAAAACACCCACTCCCCCCCCTCAAGAGATGGTCGGCCCCTTAGGTCATTCCTTCTTTTAGTAATTACGATATATGACATCTTACACCTGCACATATCTAGTGTCACAGTTCAGTGCTCATAGTAAAAGTTAGTAGTATCTATCTTGATATGATAACCTGGATGATACAAATGACTAGGTATAATGTATTCATCTTCAATACTTTGAGTTTGCTTACAAAGCAAAGTAGGAATGCAGTTTCCTGAAAAACAGTTTTTGTGCTGAACATGCGAGACATAGGACAACATTTTCGGTGTGCATTTACATTGAAATTGTGAACAAAATTACCACAAATTGTCTCTGAAGGCGGTTTTAGGTGGTTGTAGGTGGTTATTGTAGGTGGTTTTAGATGGTTGTAGGTGGTTGTAGGTGATTGTGGGTGGTTTTAGGTCATTCCTTGTTTTAGTGTTTACGCTGTATTTTGAAGCCGAACACTCAGCTGTTCTCTCCTACTCCAACTTCTGATCCTCCTTTCTTCTCTAATAGACATTAAAGTATGTTACGTTTCGATAAGCTAAATGTAAATTGTTTTATCGACCACAGATCCGCAAAGCATTGTACTAGAGGACAAATGATTGCAGCATGACGGGTGTTACGAAAACTAAGACCCTCGAAAACGAAGACCTAAGACCCAAGACCCGCCTTAGTTTTCGAGATTACGAAAACTAAGACCCCCTAAAATCGAATCCGTTGAAATATAAAGTCAAATTGTAACCAAAACAGGTTTAATCTGTCAAATTATCTCCTGTCCGATCCTTTCCACCAAGTTTTAAATCAGATTTAACGGTATCCGCAGAGGCTGTAATTTCCNATATCATACAGCTATTTAAAAACCACT